GATGGTGAAAAAATTCGCAACTGCAGGTAATATCCATTACGAGTTGGGTTCAGATATTTAAATAAGTAATCGTGTAGTGTTATAAATGAGTTTCTTTTACTCTAATAATTAAATAGAGTAAGGTTGAGTAATGAAACACATGTTCATGATTATTGGCATCATTATGGTTCTTCTGGCGCCCCTTTTCATAGATGCAGATTATTACACTTGGTCAAAATCCATGCAAATGAATTTGTTGACCAATAATAAAGTAAATTTTATCTATGAAACCCTTAAAGAACCACAAGCCACAAATTATATTTACCTTATTTGAAACGTTGCAATACCAAAGTTTTTGGACGACTTATTTGTTCCGTGAATTCTGAAATTGCTCAATCCATCGTATAAAGAGACAAGGCTTCAGAAGTCTAAATAAAGCTTAAAGAAAAGTTTTCATTCGTTAACCTCTTCAGAATTTGAGATATAAAAAGAAATTTATAGCTTGAAGCAAGGAGATTTCACTGTGACCAAATACTACGCTGAAATGCAAATCCTAAATAATGAACTTGAGATCTTGAGTATGATACCTTGTTTATTCTTATGATGTCAAATGTACTTGCAGAGCCTTCGATAACTTGAAAATTCAAAGAAATATATATATAGTAGTTGTAACGCTTTAATTTTAATTTTTAAATAAATAAATTTTGTAAAAATAGAAATAATAAAAAATTTCATTTAAAAGATTTTCACTATATAGTTCGATTAAAGAATTTTAAAATAAGAATGGATTACAAGTTTATATTAAATGACTACTATAGGACCAATTCGAATATATCATATTTTTAAAATAAATATTCTAAATTTTATAGTAGTATCATTCATTTCTTTATTGAGCTCAGTGCTGATCGTCTTGATCACCTGAAAAATAAATGTAAAGATAAATACTCTACACTTTCACACGCACATATACAAGTATAGAGTCTCACCTTGCCTATTTCACATATTTTCTAACATAATTTAAATCATATTAAATATTTGTTCAAAGTACTAATTCCATCATTCCATTCTCATTTACAAACAGGTGTATTTATTGCACCATCAAATAATCATCACACAACACCCATGTGCGCTCACTGCACGCTAGTCACGCTTACTGTGGCACTGTGATCACAGATTCCTGACGCACTCAACATTAGGGACTTACTTAGTCCACACCATGGATGGTTGCCGGATAGCTCCCACTCCACGGATATAACGTGTGTAGTATTGAGCCCTCCAAGCAAAGATGTTAGTCATAGGTCGAGTCAGGAGGAAAGTACTAATTCCATCATTCCATTCTAATTCACAAACAGGTGCATTCATTGCACCATCAAACAATTATTACACAACACCCATGTGCGCTTACTGCATACTAGTCACGCTTACTGTAGTACTGTGATCACAGATTCCTGATACCCTCAATATTAGAGACTTACTCAGTTCACATCATAAATGATTGCTGAATAGCTCCCACTCTAGGGATACAATGTGTGCAGTATTGAGCCCTCCAAGCAAAGGTGTTAATCAGAGGCCAAGTTAGGAGGAAAATATGTGGCCTATGGTGCACCCACGCTTACTGTTGGTGTCACCACCACCCTTTCTTCTCCAAGGTATTTCTACCGCCCTATCTTTTACACCTCTAATGTATCGCTGAACCATTCACAATTTTTTAACATTCCAAACATCATCATAATCACACCTAACATGTCATTCACACATATTTTCAACTATTCACATTATTCAACATCAATCAATGGCATGTCTAAGCATTTCAACCACATACTCAATCACATCATGATATTTAATTTCACACAAGGCACGTATGCCCACATTCAATCACATTACAGTTAAACATCAAATCCTCATCAAAACTTCATCATGATCAAATTACTACATCACACACATTATGCTCAATATTCATTCCATTATACTCAATCAAGAATCTTTTATCAAAACACGCCTATCCCTTCATTCTACCTCAACCACTTTGCAACCCATAGCAAATAAACGAATTCAAAACAAAATAAGATAAGGTAGAGTCTCCTCTTACCTCAAAATAAAAATTCACAATGCAAATCAACAACGAAAGCGTTTCCTACATGGATCTCATCCTAAATACATGGAAGAATTTTATGAGAAACCAAAGAGAACTGAGAAAATAGAGAATATGAGCGAAAACTGAAACCTAACCATTAAAACTCACCTCCAAACACTCCAAACATGATTCCAACCTTTAATCTCATTTCCAAACAACTTTGAAGGCAATTTAAATGGTGAAATAGGGTTTTCAGTCGAGAGAAAGAGTTTGAAGAGAGAAATGAAAAATGAATTTTCCAAATCATAAACCTCTCAAATACTTCCTGAGTCGCGACACTCTCGCTACAACTAGCTATCTCTCACTACAGTGACACTTCCTCTCTCTACAGTGAAAATCTCAGAGGAAACTACACTTTGGTTTCTACAGAATCTTGCTACAGTGAGACCCTTTCGCTACAACGAGACTGCAACCCAGAAATACACCCCTCTTTGTTGCCTTTTCGCTATAGCGAGAACGCAATAGAATCACCCTCTTTCTTCCAAGACCTTCTCACTACAACGAAAATGCCACTGATCCATGCTCTACGCTCAGAGCTTTTCACTACGGCGAGAATACCCTTGCAACACACACTTAGCCTATATTTTCAATCCAACCACAAGTTCACATTCATCTTTCAATTATATTATATAAACATACACATATCTATACGTACTTACACACATATTTACATCACCATTCAATACTCATCATCATCATATTCACATCCTACTCATCACACAATTAAATGCACATTCGAACATCAATTCACACATATATATTAATAATCAAATAATATTACAAAATTTGGGGCGTTACAGTAGTAAGATTCTTAAAGGGCTTGAACGAGCAATGCTCCACTATGAGATTTCAAATCATGTTGATAGACCTTCGTCCAACCATTAACAAGTTTTTTTTTTCTCTCCTTGCACAACAAGAGAGACGATTTTCTATAGAACAATCTAGAAATTAAAAGTTCTTGCCAATGTTAGTAATAATTTTGCTCAAGATCTAAGAAAATATAACAATTTCAAAGGATTCAATAATTAAAAAGCTCAATAACAAAGTGGTAAACTTTACTCACATTGTGAAAAATTAAGGAACACAGTTGTTGTATGTTACAAAAAGCATAGGTTTTCCTTGGGATTCAACTTCAAAAAGCTTAAATATGTCAATCGATCAACAAATATGACAAATTTTAAAAACCCAACAAAGGCTGAAATCCAAGAATAGAAATTTGGTTTCATAGCTAAGCAATACCAAATTTTGCTTGCTCTTCTCCATTAAAATCTTAATAATTATAGAAATAACACAAATACTTAAGTAAATTTGTCTTCCGATAAGCAAGAAAGTACACTTCCCACTAATGATAGTAAACTTTTCTCCACAAAATGAATTCTTGATATAGGTGTTATTGACCATATTTACTCATCTTCAAGTTTCTTTATTTCCTATAAACATATTAAACCTATTAATGTTACTCTCCTCAATGAGAATTTTGTCATTGCTTAACAAGAAGGTTCATTTTTCTTCCTTTCTTTACTTAACTAATGTTTTTACTTACCTATTTTTTAAGTACAATTTGATTTCAATATCAAAGCTAACCTTCTTTTTGAATTACAAGCTAATTTTCTCTAATTGTTTTTGTTGGATACAAAGTTCTTATACTTACAAATGATTGGCACAAATGAGCTCAAGAATAATTTGTATTTTGTTAAAGCATCTTGCACATATTTTATCATATACATTATGTCTCATACTAATTTTGTCAATTGTAATTTTGTTTCTCTTAATAAGGATTTGTGAAATTATAGATTTAGTCACCCTTCTTATGATTGGTTGAAAGTCTTATAAAAATAATTTTCTTTTATTAGTCTTGAAAAGAATATTGTTTGTGATATATGTCATTATAAAATAAAAAAGAATCTAATAAAAAATTTTATTTGATTCATGTTGATATATGAGACTTATTTTTACTATTTCTATTTATGGACGTACCTACTTTTTTATTGTTATTGATGATTATTTAAAGTATACTTGAGTTTATCTTTTAAAAAATAAGTTTGGAGTTAAAATTTTAATTCAAAATTTCTTTGCATTAGTTGCAAATCAATTTGATACTAAAATCAAAGCTATTAAAATAGATAAGAAAAATTAATAAAGGTGAGAGAAAATGTTTTAGTGATGGTAGACAGATTTCTCATCCATACCTTCAATCATCTGCATATTAAGGTCGCTAACATATTAGCAGATACAGTTTAAAAATTTATTACTTGATATTTTAATAATAAAAATATTAAATAAAATTAATTGTGAGGAAAATATTAGATATGGCACTTAAATATTTAATAAAAATAAATAGATAATTTTTATTGCACATGGAAATAATATTGAATATGAATAATAAATATGTGAATTAAAAAAAAAAAAAGGAAAGAATTGCGTTGCAGTGTATTTAATAACGATGGAATATAGACGAAGTCTGACGTGAGTAGTGTGACAGTTGTAGATAGTAGAGAGAAAATATAGAAAGCTGGGTCATAGAGAAGGAAGGAACAAGTCAAAAGTGAAGCTGAGTCCCGAGTGAGGTCTCGCAGAGCTTTCGTCCATCAGATACTTTTGTGTTCCCATAAATGCTTTCAGAATCCGACGTGACATTCTTCGGAGGCTGTGACCGTCCAAAAACACAAAATGAATCCACGTCACACAAAAAGAATCCTATCTGTCTCCCTTCTGGACTCACTCACTCACTCTAAATTCTAAAACCACACGTGATCAATTAATGCATTATACTCCTTCAAAACACAATCCAAATCCGTGTCTCAACGGTGTGCACAGCTGGACCTTACCTGCCACGTCACTCCCAAACCGTATATAAACCCCCCAACCCTCTTACCTTCCTCTTTCAAAATCGACACATTCAACGCGCCCAACACCAACCCCTTCAACCCCCCAACCCACACCATGTCTTCCTCCTCCTCCTCCTTCTCCCCCGCCTCTCTCTCCACCGAGCAAGAGCTCTCCGTCATCGTCGCCGCCCTCACCAACGTCGTCGCCGGCTCCACCTCCTCCACTTCCGTCTCCGAATTCCGCCTCCCCCTTACTTCCGACACCTCCGCCGGCACCAGCTTCGACCGGATTGTGCCCAACATGGACACTTGTCGCGAGTGCAACATCGCCGGCTGCTTGGGATGCAACTTTTTCCCCGAAGAGAAGAAGAAGCAGAAGAGACCCAAAAAGAAGTACAGAGGCGTGAGGCAGAGGCCTTGGGGCAAATGGGCTGCCGAAATCCGAGACCCCAGACGCGCGGCCCGGGTCTGGCTCGGGACATTCAATACTGCAGAGGAAGCCGCCCGGGCTTACGACAAGGCCGCTATCGAGTTCCGCGGCCCGCGGGCTAAGCTCAACTTTCCGCTGGTGGACGAGTCCCTGAGCTTGCAACAGAGCGAGGCAGAGAGGGTTGCCATTGCCGCCGAAGAGGAAATAAAGGAAGAGAATCTGAATCAGGGAATGGAAATGGATGCACTCGCGTTTGGAAACAAGGATACCGAATTCTGGGATTGGATTGGCGAAGACGATTTTCAACAGCTCAAGAGGATGATGGATTTTGCTGGAGACTCTTCCGATTCTGCTACTGGGAACACTCTTAGTTCCTAAGCCTTCTAAATTCGATTTAACGTAATAATAAGTTTTGGTAGTGTGTGTTTAAAATGTACAATTAAGCTAAGCCCATTCGTTAGCTTCCCTGGATTTTTCAGGAAGGAGGCTACAAATTACATTTCATGAGTTCAGTGTTTGATTTCACCCCAGAAGCTGTTCTGTATAAAAATTGCCGAGTTATTATCAATTATTAGCTAACTTACGTTAGAAGAAACGATACGATAATATTGAATTAGTGAAATTTTAATATGGGGTTATAAAGAAGGAATTTGTCTTTATTATGTCAGGTGTGTTGGTTAAATATCACAACTGACAGTTGATGTCTAAGTGAGATTCTACTAACCGATGTTGGGTACAGAGGAGCACAGTGAATTGGGTGATGAGGAGAATTTGAGGGTAGGGGTTGGAGCCCACTATGTGTCACCTGAAGACGTAGAAGTCGTGTGGTGCGCACTGGCAAAGGAAAATGATTCTATTACCAAGTCACAACAAAAAAGTTACTTGGTAGGGCCGCGTAGTGTCCACGGTGATGCCACGTCTACAGGGAACATTAACCGCTGTAATTGAAGCACGTTTTCATTTCCTCGCGTTTTCAATGTGCTCCATTCATCACGTGCTGGACTATGGATGATGAGATAAAGCAATTTAAAATAAGGCTTTAGTGACGTCTGATTCTTCCAACTTAAAATAAAAAAAATTGAGATTAGTTAGCTGGGTGGGTTCTGCAACTTGGGTTAATTGATCTTTTTTATTAGCTTCTCTTTCTCTTTGGTCTTATCTTATTCCCAATATAAATATTCAATTTCATTGTTCTTATTTTGTAACTACGTTTGCGGTCAAATGTCACTCCTGAACTACTCGTTTATAGCGCACAGGGGCATGACATATTCAGTGACGCAAATATCTGTTCGGTCCCCATTTGTGGACTCGACGCACAATTTTTAATAGAGTTTCATTCTTGGACTAATCCGTAATTCTACTATGTATAAAAATGTAAGTAACTATAGGAAGCTCTTTTTATAAGATGCAAACAAGCCAAGATAAATTTTATTTTTAATTCTTAATTAAAGTTCTAAATATACTGTTTTGCATTTACGTTGCTGTGATTAATGTTTCAAATACCGAACTATAGGTTTAAAATCCTATAGCGGAAAATAGGTTGGACACAAATTGGATGAAAGAGACTATATTTTGTGCATATTCAATTTGAAGGGATATGGTTGAATTGAAGCTAATTTTGACGGCTAATTTGACGTCCACGGAAAGGACGCAGCAACAATTTTATATATGTTTGTCTTTATTACATCACAATCGTTTTCGTCATGCCCCCATCACCTTTGAATATATATATATATATTTGTCTATTTCGTCGAATGCACCTTCATCTTCGCCGTTAAGAAATTTATAAGCTTGCTGAAAAAAATATTTGTAAGGTTTAAATAATGTATTCTTAGATTTAATTCTTATAACAATTTTAATTTTTATAATATAAATCTACGTAATTAAAATTTCCAGTAAAAGACAAATTATATATTTTTTGCTCCCATATTCATGCATGAGTTTGTGTGGGAAAATATTCAGGTGATTTCAATAGTGACACAAATGCCTTAGTACAAAACTATTTCAATATTATAAAAGGAGAACATTTCAAGTTTAAGCCTTTTTGCTTTCTCTTCATTGAATTATTAATTTGCACATTTGGTTTATTAATTTTTATTAACAAATGTGAAATTATTTGGATGACGAAGGGGACTATATATATATATACTTATGATATTATGAATATTTATTCAACTTTGCGTCTAATTTCTAAAAATTTAAGCACTTTTCTGAAAAATTGGAAATTACATGAATTGTTATATTAACATTACACTCCTCTACTTATTAATTATATCAAAATATTACAGGGTATATAAATTAAATAAGTTTACTCTAAAATTACCCGAGACATTTTAAAAAAGTGAATCTCTCAAACTTATAGCAAAAAAAAAAAAAACTTTGAACAAAAACAACAAATGCATTTCTATTAATTGATGCAGGAATGAAATATTTAATTTTATAAAAAATTTAAATTTCACTGGGACTCGTGTAGAAAAATTCCGACTAGTTTTACTGTGAAATGGAAGTAATATCACTGAGCTGAATTTCCAAAGACAGAAAGAAACACTTGTGAAGTAGAAATATCATGGAGTCCACATATTTACATTTCGATCATTTAATTTATTTAATTTTTATTTCTATTAATTCAAACACCACATTATATCATTTTTATTTCATCTTTTTCATTTACTTCTATTTCATCCATCTCTATTTTATTCCGCCATCCAAACAATCACTTAAGATCTTAGAGGCTTGAAAAGTAGTGGTAGACGATATTATTATGCCACAGGAAAAAAAAAAGGTCACTCTTGTTATAAAGCACCAAATGAAAAGAGTATATAGAAATTCACAGAACCAAACAGTAATCCATAAACACATAAGCCCAGAGCAACGATACAAATAAAATTTTAAAAAAATAAAATAAAATACAAGAAATATGTAAAGTAATCCCACAAATGCTTTGTGTAATAATTGCTGCTAGCCACACCAAAGCACTGCAACATCAAATTGAACCAAGCTTCGTAGATAGGAAAATGCTAAGAATTTTGCACTCTCAAGGACTTGTGGATGAAGGGGGTGGAGAGAGAAATGGGATGGAGGGAATCGTAGTTGGGATTGAAGGAATGCTTGGAAATGAACCTGTTGGCATCGGAGGGAGGGTGACTTGTGGAACTGATGATGGTATGGTGGGGATGCTAGGAAGTGGTGGCAATGTGGTAGGTAGTGAGGGTTGTGGAAGTGTTGGTATAGTAGGCAAAGGAGGCAAATTTGGAATTGAAGGCAAAGGTGGTAATGTTGGTTTGGTCAAATTTGGTATAACAGGTTGATTTGTTTGCAGAAGATGACGACCCGCTAGGCCAAAATCCATGCTTGAAAGAGAAAATGCTATGAAGAGAGCTATGACAAAGGAATTGTGATAGGCCATGGCTTAAGTAAGTTAAAGTTTTGAAGATTTGGAACAACTAGATAGAGGCAGAGATGTGTGAAAATAGCTTTGCTTTGGTTTGCACGGAAAGCTTTTGAGCAGCTGAGTTATATATAGATAAGTAGAGACGTGAGACGTGAACCGGGTTGGTTGATTATTGGTAATCTATATTTTGACTTTTTGAATTTGATTAACCTTGTTATCAATTTTTTGCCCATTTTATAAACAATATTTTATTACCGGTAGTTGGGGTTGAAGCTGAATCTGGTTTGTTGACAAGACATTAGAAAATTTGCAAGCTAAAGGAATTATTATGATTGGTAAACATCTCTAATAATCTTGGTTTTATGGTAGCTTTCTCACTGAAAACATTGGCTTTTGTAGATAAAGGGGTTTGTTTAACTTACGGTGACAAAAAAGTCTTCATTCCTTTCTAATATAGATAGGTCAGTTGACCAACAATAGTTCAAATTATAGTTTGCTGTAAGAGATATATTGTAGTGTGGGGCAAGTTGAACTAACAAATCACACCATCCACCAACTCAGCTTGCTTATACCATCCCATCAATTGAGTTGCACAATTTTTTCTATAAAATCCCCCCCACATATAACATCCGTAGAGTACTCTCACAAAGCATATCAAAACCATTTGCAATTAGCTTCAACTCTTATTGATCCTCCTCCTCAAGTTCTTGTCATCAACTTGATTCAAGCATGGCTTCTAGCAGTATGTCAACTATGATTTTATCACTTCTTGTTCTAACTATAATGTCAGCAACAAGTCACACAATGGTTGTGGGGGCACGCAATCTTCAAGAATCAACAATGTCAGAGCCAGAAGTGCCACAACTTCCCAAACCTGAGTCGCCACCTCTTCCAAAAGTCCCTGAATTACCAAAGCCAGAGTTGCCTAAGATCCCAGAATTGCCAAAGCCTGAACTACCTAAAATTCCTGAATTGCCAAAGCCTGAGCTTCCAAAAGTTCCTGAGATTCCTAAGGTTCCTGAATTGTCTAAAGTCCCTGAGATGCCTAAGGTTCCTGAATTGCCTAAAGCCCCAGAAGTGCCTAAGCCTAAGCTACCTGAAGTTAAGGTCCCTGAGGTGCCTAAAGTCCCAGTATTGCCAAAGCCTGAACTTCCCAAAGTACCTGAAATGCCAAAGGTCCCAGAATTTCCTAAGGTCCCCGAGGTGCCTAAAGTCCCAGAATTGCCAAAGCCTGAACTTCCAAAAGTACCTGAAATGCCAAAGGTCCCAGAATTTCCTAAGGTCCCTGAGGTGCCTAAAGTCCCAGAATTGCCAAAGCCTGAACTTCCAAAAGTACCTGAAATGCCAAAGGTCCCAGAATTCCCTAAAGTCCCTGAAGTTCCTAAAGCATTTCCGACCACCAATCCTTGAGTTAGAACCCGTTATACTGTTTGTGTCTTCAGATCATAATCCGTTGCTTTCCAGTGCCTAGTTCTTGTTGTTTGATGGATGTGATGTGATATACGTTAATTTTCTCTTCTGTATAATTTGTTGTAGCTACTTGAGAATGGTTGTTACAGCTTAGTAATGCTATGAACCTTATTATGATTACATGTTATATTCAGTTAGAGGTTGCTTAAATCGATTATAGTTATACTACTGCATACTGAATTACTGATATTCATATCCTTAATAAGATTGTGATTTCTAAGCATAAATTTGAAAATTTCTAGATTATGTTTTCCACCTCTAATGTAGTTTGAGCTCGCGCGTCTTTTTGTTCTTACAAATTTAATGAACAATTTTAAATTTAGCTTCCTAATTTCTATCGAGAAATCTTGCTCTCTCTTGCAAAGGAGGCTGATCATAAAAATTCTTAAATTTAACATTTGGCAGAATCTTAATTTCTCAATACAAAGTATGAGTTTGGTCAAAATTGCATGTGCAAAGTTACAACATGACTACATTAACTACACTAATTATCTTGTGACGATTAAAAAAAAAAAAAAGAATGGTTATCTTGTGTGGTTACTCATACAAAGGGTGCAGATGATGTCAGAGAATAACGTACATTAATTTCTTTCTTAAAAAATAAATTCATTTTTCCTTCTCCAATATATTGAAAACTCATTTAACAATTAATTAATTCTAAATGTTTGTTTAAAAGTAAGAATATTAATTCTCACAATTTTTAATTAAAAAAATACATTATAATAAAAATATATGCCTCACATTAATTAATGCATATACCTCAATCATGTTTAATGGCTTGAAATTAATACAACCAAAATCAATTTATTTCAACTTGAAACAAAATAAGCACAAAAGCAATGGAGCTACTTTGAAGACTCAAGTATGCCTAACGACAAGAATTCCTTGTTATATATTATATATACATTTTTAAAAAAATTAGTTATAATATATTTCAAAGTGTCTTACATTTTACACAAATTTCATTTTAGAACTACAAGAAGTAAAATATATAATATCAAATAAAATATTATTTAATTATTTACTCCTGTATTTATGGTTATTTTTGTAATCAATATTGTGATTGAAGATTTATAATTTTAAATAAATATTACATACGCTTATTATTTATATAAGATGCAATTAACATTAAAATAAAATGTCGATGTTTAAAAAAATATATAAAAGATAATAAATTTGATATCTTTTTATTAAAATATTAATATTTCGTTTAGTTATATTATTCTGTTTAACCATATAAAATAAATACATAAAAAATTTAATCTTACAATTATTAAATATTATATATATAAAGTCATGAATCTCACTAACTAGTTTTCAAACAAACCTTTTAATTCTTACATATTTTAGATTATAATTAATCGAAGGTAAGTCAAAATGGAGGCAAAACTATTTGCTTCTTTCTTTTTCTAGTAACTTGGAATTTGGATTCTCTGCAGCCCTCTAAAATTAATTAACTATATCATATTATAATCTTTTTATAATCGTTGGAAATAAAATTAATGGCCGGGATCTCTAATGCAGAGGCTATACCGCTACAAGGAATCTGAATCCATTAACTTGTGCTTAATTTATTATTTTCTCTCTTTTCAAAATATGAAAACATTTTTGAAAAGTTGCACTACTATGAGATTTACATGCAACATAATTAAAAGATTTTTATAACTTAACAAAAACTCACTAATTATGTATAAGAATTTGATTAAAAAATTTAAAAGCATAAAAATTATGTTAAAAGCTTATTTTAAAAAGATATATCAATTTCTATACTATAATTACTATTTAATGAAATATTTGCTTTACTAAAATATTTGCATTTAATGTTGCAAATTATCATTTGTACATAACTTTTGTCCTAAATTTTCTCCTAAACTAAATATACTAAATCCACGAGAGAGGAAAAAAAAAAAAGCAATGTAATAACGCCATTTCATAACTAATCTTTCATTTGTAAACAAAAAGGCAGTTCAAACTTTGCAAACCCAAACTTGTAATCACAAAATGAACACCGTGTAAGAAAGAAAATAGATACAAGGCAACCTAAAACTCACTATACAGAAGACCAAAAGCATCTCAAACATGAATAGAAGCAATACATTGATCAAAGGCACTCCTAACACCAGAAATTTGAAACCTTGGAAAAAATGTAAGCAAGGGTTTAACCACGTCGCTTTCCAGACAGGCTGATGGAGCTGACTTTCAGAGGAGTTGCAACTACCAACGGAGCTTCTGGAGAATCACTAACAGCAAATTTGTCGTGCATAAATCGTGATTCTACAATTGATTCATCCTTCAATACTATCTTATAACAGTAACAGCTCTTCAGCCCTTGTTGATTTCTGTAACATTCATGAGCACTGTTCTTTACCTGCTGAAAATCCCATATCACACTAAACTTGCCCACAGTCGCAACAAGGTGGCGTTCTTGTTTACCATTCTCAGTGACCTGAAAGACAAAAATCAATGAGATACGTGCTTGGTTGCTGCAATGATGCAATAAACTACTATCATCAGTTTAAAATAAATTTTCTACTTCATATCACAGAAGTATGAAGTATGCAACATGGAATAAACAATGAATTTTATCCTTAATTCAATGGGCACTATCCATGTATTTGTCAATTAAGTGAATACTAACAAGTACAGGATGCACATAGTAAGAAATTTTAGTTTTACAGTCGCACGAAGTGCCGCAAACAACCATTTCCCTGTTACTCGGGTCTTCTCATCATGCACATAAAATTCTTTTCATAATTTCAGCGCAATTAACAAAAACATTGTAAAGATACCACTTGGTATAGCAAGTTTTGAATAATAACTTAATTTTTCAACCTGCCTAAAGATATGTCCTAGTCCTATCATCTACCGAACTGATGACGATCCCATACTTGCACCATTCACGTTATTCGTGCATACCTTTCGTCAAGATTTTAAATATCTTCGATTACTAATGCTACTCGTTATCATCCCCCACCAATCAATTTTTCAATCTGCCACTTGAATGTATTGCTCCATCAGATATTCAAACAGTAAACAATAAGGAATTTACCATGATGGTTTCAAAATGGGCGATTCTTTTTGGCCAACTTCTAAATAATAAGTAAAAGTATACGACTTCATACATAAAATTAAGCCGACCTTAAAAATAGGAAACAAACAAATTTCAAAGGAGAGATTCATATTTCAAATTCAAATACCAGACGTCTGAAACATTCAGAAGTTTCACTCTAGCACCGCTACAGCAGCAATTCCAGCCTTTATAGTTGCTCTTCAAAGTGCACCTCTATTCAAATTTGATAGTGGGCCATGGCCACTCCACACCACTACACCTTTATAGTGCGCTATTGGTAACTACGATTCCTAAATCCTTATGATTTTCCTAAAATTTATCTTCGTCTTTCTCTACCCCTCCAGCAATAGGACCACCCTCCATCTACACTACTCTCCTTAATGGGGCTTCTAAAGTATTCACACATGCTGCCCAAACCACCTAAGGCGAAATTCTATCATTTTTTCTGCAATAAGTTCTATCCTTACTTCCTCTCTAACGCATTCATTCATAATCATATCTTGGCAAGTATAAACAAGACGCTTTTTTTAAGGAAGATCACAAAAAAGATAGGTTCACCAAAATCAATCGGAGACAATTAATGCACTGTTGTTGAAGATATTGCCAAGATTGACATACACAAGTAGCTAAGTGAAAGATGCTGCTACATGGACGTATCAAGATTCAAGATCCTAATGGAAACACAACAACAAAGGCGAAAAGTGCTTACCCATGAGAAATGTCCACCATGAAACTTATTGCTTGCACCAGCCAAATGCGAATCCAGAGGAGTTAGCTTCAACAATCTGGGAGCACCTATCCTGTTTCCCATACGACCACCGAACCCAGTCTTTGTCTTCCCATCTTTATCAGTGAACAAAGTGCAAATCAACACCAAGTAAGTGTCAGTGGTGCCCAGCACCCACTTGCCATCATAAGTAACATCAACACTGGTAATCGGCGAACCCAGCCCCGGAAACGCAGTCTTAGCTTGCCTCATCGAAGTCTTCGAATACAACCTTATCTTCCCATCAAGAGACCCCACCACAATGGAACCATCCCCAGTGGTTGCAAAGCACTGAAAGTTAGTTCCTCTTGAAAACTGATGCCCCTGGTTCCAATGCAACACGGGGGAACTAGCCGTGGCAATATTCTGAACCATTCCTTTTCTATCACGCATATCCCATTGACAGAGCCTGTTATCATCCAACCCCAAAAACGTTGATTCCGAAGGATCCAACTGAGACCCTTTTGTATCATTGGTGATATCCCTCATCGTTATATCAGCACCATCCTTCTCAAACTTCCACTCCGTCACGATCTTCCCAGTTTCAATATCAAGCTGATTAAGTGTCGAAGCATGAGGTTTCCCATCTTTCAAAGGACCCATCAGTAGCATGTTCGTCTCTGCTCTCATCAACAACGCCTTGTTCGGCGTCTGTTGCCGGGAATTCCGGCCGTCGAATTTGACGGAGACTCCCTTGCCGTGAATCCCGCGGTTGAAATTCCGGTAAACGTGAACGCCGGTGTCGTTGACCATGAAACTGTTGTCGAGAGCGCCTAGGGTTACGGTCTGAACCCCTCCGTTTGCAGCTTCTTCGAACTCCTCCATTAAATCCTCTCTGGACCGAACCGGATCCGGCGGAGTCTTCGCGAAGGCGTCGTCGGCGTCTTCCCAAACCGAATCATCGGCGGCTTCAGGCTTCACCCAGCCGATAAACTCTTTGCCGTAGACCTTGATTTTGTTCTCTTCGGTGCACTCGAGACCGTACACGTTTTCGAACAGGCAGTTCTGAAATTCGGTGACGAATTTACGGTAAGTGTCGTCGGAGGGAAATTTGAGGGCCCAGACGCCGTTGGCGACGAAATCGACGCGGCGTTGATCGCCGAACATCTTCAATTGCATTTCAGAAGAAACCCTAGAGCGAACCTTGGAACCGACCTTGAGAGCCCAATTACCCTCACCATCGTCGTTTTCGTCTTCTTCGTTGTCGTTTGATTTGAGGAAGGTGTAGGAAGTGTGTTTGTCGGAGAGGATCCATTTAGCGTTGGGAGTGTTACCGCCAATGTGGAGGTAAAGCTTGACGACGTTTTGGGGTTTGGTGGAGGAAGAAGGTGATTGATATTTGAGTTTGAGGGCTTTGAGTTTGGCGTCGACGTCGTCGAGCTTGGTCGATTGGGAAACGGAGGGTGTTTGGGCGTCTTCGTCCTGTTCTTCTTCTTCTTCTTCTTCTTCGCGTTGTTCTTCGTGATCGGAGTCAGAGTCGGTGACTTCGAGGCCCTCGCGGCTCTGAGAAGTGCCCATGGAAATGGATTTGGATTTTTTATTCGATGGATGAATCAAAGGACGCAAATGGTTTCTATTTTTATTTGGATTTTCGAATTCAACTGAATGGGTGTCAGTTAATTTAACGGTTTTATAGCGTCCCCACCGACTAGCCAGGCGTGGATTTAACGCACTTTTTTTAAGATAAAAAATTAAATTAAATAACTTTATATTGTACCTCAGCTCTAAACTTTTTGTTCTTTTTTTCTCTTTTAAATTTTGGTCGAGGGAGGATCTTTGCTTCGTACCTAAGCATTATCTTTTTCTTTTTTTTTTAATCGGAGCTAATCATTATCTAAGTTTGGATTTGAGTATTCCGCATTGGGCTCGCGTTTGGAGCGTGTGTATAAGCGCTGTTGGTCTGGGTTACACTGTCACGCTTTGAAGAGTTATCAAACCAAAGAAGATTCGGAGGGCCTATTACTTTAAACACTTTTTTTTCCTTCCATTTTTATTGTTAATTAAATTCTGAGATAACAGAGATTTTAACTAGGATTTTTTACAGAAAAAATATTAAATAAATAAATATATACTAAGATGACTCGGTTCTAGTATATTTATCCAACTAAACCTGTTACTTATACAGGTTCAAAATTCGTGTTTTGGAAACTAAATTCTGACTTATGTTTTGTCAAATAGCCAAAATTTTTTATTAATTTATTATTTTTATATAATAAAATAAATATTATGTATTTTTTATGTTTATATATTTATATATTGTAAAATTTAATAAATATTTATAAATATTTAGTTAATTTTAAATAATAAAACAAGTTTTGTTATTTGAATTATATTTATATTTTTATATTATATGAAAATAAATATTTATATTATGGTAATTTGTGTGAAATAATATTTATATATTTATATTATGTAAAATAATAAAAAATATTATATTGATGTATTTTATTGAATATGTAAATTTATGTTATAAATTTTTAATATTAATATAATAATATTATTTTGAATAAGTATTTGATTTTTAAAAAACTAAAATTCGTATATCAAATGAATAAAAATAATAAAGAATATAAGGGTATATATTTTTTGAGTATTAATATGATAAAAAATTTTGAATTAGTATTTTATTAAATAAAATAAAATTTGTATATAAGATGAATAAAAATAATAAAGAATATTTTATTTTTATATTTTTTTCGAATATGTAATTTTGTGTTATGAATTTTGAATATTAATATGATAATAATATTCTGAATAAGTATTTGATTCTAAAAATATAAAATTTGTATATAAGATGAATAAAAATAATGAAGAATATTTTGTTTATATGTTTATTAAAATATATATTTAATTAATTTTTAAAATTATGGTTATAATATTTGGATATAAAATTGTTATTAATATTAATAAAATGAATAAAGAATATGATGTAGATATTTATATATATTTAAAAGAAATCATAATTCATTAAATATTTAATAAAAAACAACACTTAACACAATATTGATAACAACATTCATTAGTGATTTTTAATATCACTATTTTCATAATGATGTCTAGTTCCATAACGAGGGTGACGTCTATTACGTGTTAAGTTTCGTTGTTGTGATTGTTGTTGTATAAATTCAAGATGAACTTGTGGAGGATTATTAAGGTTTAGTTGTTAGAATGCAGCTGAGGAACTATTAGATTCATTAGCAAAATCTGATTAGTAAAAAGACTGCATGTAACTCTGTGTTGAAGATAGAGTTGTAAAATTAACCCCAAATAAGTTTGTAAAAACATCCTTCAAAGTTGTTGCAAACAAATGTCTTTTATCCATTATGTTTGCATCTAGCGTGATACCCGATGGAGGAATTGATGCAATTTCATAATACGACAATGTGGAAGTCGTACCGGTGACAAATGTTGTAGTAGTCCTTAATTGTTGGTGACTCCTCCTTAAATCTTGTAATAGTAGTGGTACAGATAGAAAATAAATGGAATTGACAATGTATCATTCTATATAATCTCGTGTGTGACACAATGGGCCTGACATTGGATGACTCGTTAATGTCAGGTCACGTCTGTTGTTTCACACATTGATCTATCAAATATGTCTTGTGATCCAATTTTCATTCTATCTTCCTCTCATGTTAACTGTGTGGAGATCATCCAAATTATTTGGTGAAGAATGGACTTCTTGTAAGAGTTAAAATTGTAATTTGACTAACAATCACAAAATAAAGGATGGTGGCACATGTAGTCCATGCTTCCACAGGCATTGATGTTTACAACTCTTAATGTTGCGCCCATTAAAACTACAAATAAATTTAACTTTGTTAATTAAAATAATATGTAAAACAAAATAAAACAAGAAAAAATTAAAATTTTAGTTAGGAAGATTTACCTGATTAGCCTGAATGTGGTCAAATATTGATCTGTACCCTACAACATCATTGTGAGGTTTATTCCAGAAATTGAGGACTCTACCCTTGCTCCATCTGCACACCAGAGGGTATGTTGGTGGATTACTGAAAATTGGAAAAAATATATGACATGCGATATCATTCCCAAGACATTAATAGTGATGTATAACCACCTATTGTTTTGCTCCTAATTCTATGACCTTGCACATTTTCCTATACAACATAGCCCACATAAAGTCCACGATGGGTTACATAATCAGCTACAGAAATGGATGGCTAGAAAACAACATGTCATTGAAAATATCTTCAGAAATTGGGAGGAGTCATACCACAAATTACCTAGTATGTTGCAAGCAATGCAACTGTATATTCCCGGGTTCATCTAAAAATTGAGTACACAACCAGCATACCAGTGTGGCTTGTTGGACGAGAGAGGTTGTTTTGAACCTTCAAGCCATGCATCGATGGTTTTGCCTTCTGCAAACCAATTGTTCAAGTGGATGGAACATTTTTGTACGGCAAATACAAAGGAACTTTAATGGTGACCGTTGCGCAAGACTGTCGCAACAACGTAATTTCCATTGCCTTTGCTGTGATTGAAGGTGAATCCAATGATGTATAATTCTTTTTTTTTTAGAAACTTAAGAAGGTACGTAACCCCATAAGAGGGGTTATGCCTCATTTCAAATCGTCACAAGGCCATAAGAAGTGCATACTCCAAAAATGAAAGTGATTGGATAGAAAACAATTCTGTCCATGTCTATTGCATTAGACCCATTGTACAAAATTTTATGCGACGATTCAAAAGCACTGCAGTTAAGAAAGATGTCGTCAATATGGGTAGTTTTAATTTTTTTACGTACTCTATACTATCATTAATATTTTATACACTTGCTTAGCTAGTTATATTAATTTAATTTGTAATCTTTTTTTCAGCATATGGGATGACTGAATCAAGATTCTTTTACTATTACAACATAGTAAAAGATAATAATCATGAAGCTGCACAATGGTTCGACAATATCCTAAGGGAAAATGGACGCTGGCATAAGACAACGGAGAATGCTGGGACACATGACAACAAACCTAGTAGAGTCAATCAATTCGGTCTTGAAGAAAACCTGCCAATTTGCTCCATGGTCATGGCAACATATACTCGTTATAACAAGTTCTTCATTGAGAGAGGCAGAAAAGTAGATGCAATGATTAATGCTGGACATGTGTACTCGGAGGTTGCAACTAAAGTAATTCAAGATGCACAGTCAAAGGCGAACACTCATAGAGTCATTACCTTTGATAGAACAAGCATTAGATTTTTAGTCAAAGAAATGCAACATCTGATACAAGTTTGACCCGTAGGGAGATTTACAGTACGGTTAGATGAAATATGGTGTGATTGTGGCAAGTTCCAAAAAGTTCACATCACATATTCACATGTACTTGCTTCATGCTTACACGCACACCACAACTTTGACATCTATATATCTCTCATATATACCTTACAACAAGTTTCTAAGGTATACGAAGGGTCAGTTTGGAAAACTCAGACACGAAGACTATTGGCCAACTTACACTAGCCCAACTTTGTGTCCAAATTCAGAACTGAAAAGAACTTCAAAGGGTCGACCCAAGCCTCGTAGGATAAGAACAGAGATAGACATTAGAGAACAACAAAATTGTACAAAAAATTGTTCCTATTATTACACCCCTGGTTACACAAGGAAGACATGTCCAAACATTGGTCATGCATCTAGTTTTCGCTATTGATTTCTTTTGTTGTAATGGGTTATAAAGAAAAAGGAAAACTTAATTTGAGAAAACGTTGTATTAATATATGTCATAGTTTTACTTCCACGCTACCGCTCCTTGAATCACTTTTGCATATTAATATTAAAAATTCTCAAGTTGTATTTAAAATGAAATACTTATTCAAAATAATATTATCATATTAATATTCAAAATTCATAACATATATTTACATATTCAAAAAAAAATATACCATTATATTCTTTATTATTTTTATTCATTTGACATACAAATTTTATTTTTTTAAAAATCAAATACTTATTCAAAATAATATTATCATATTAATATTAAAAATTTATAACACAAATTTACATATTCAATAAAATATATCAACATAATATTCTTTATTATTTCACATGATATAAATATATAAATATTCATTTTCACATAATATAAAAATATAAATATAATATGAATAATAAAACTTGTTTTATTATTTAAAATCAACTAAACATTTATGAATACTTATTAAATTTCACAATATATAAATATATAAACATAAAAAAATACATAAAAATTATTTTATTATATAAAAACAAAAAACCAAATTTTAAAAAGAAAAAAAAACTTGACCAGAATTCAATTTCCCGAAAATTAAATTTTGATAAGAAAAATTTGGCTATTTGGGTAAAACACAGGTCAGAATTCGATCCCCAGGACACGAATTCTAAACCTGTACAAGTCTAGTTGGGTAAATATATTGAGGCTGAGTCTATTTATGTATATATTTATTTTTTTAATATTTTTTGTAAAAAATTCATTTTAACTACATGTTTGTCACTAATGATAGATATCCTATTTTTTTTCATTCAAGGATTTTAACTGGTTGAAATATAATTTTTTGTTTAAGAGATACTACATTTTAGAGTCTTAGAAAATTATAA